AAAAAAAAAAAAAAAAAAAAAAAAAAAAGCTGTGGTGGAACAAAAATATTCAACAGTTTTCAGACTTAAACCTGGACAAGGCAGAATGAACTGGGTTTATTTCTGTGGGAGGTTTCATTTGAGCCCACATTGACAGTACAGGGAGGAAACTGAGTCTTGTAACAAACCCAAGAACCTCAAAGAATGAGATAAAACTTGTGTTTGCAGTACTGCAAGCAAGCAATATAATGAAATATTGGCACAGYCCACTGGTGTCCTTACAGGTGACCTTTAGGGGACAGGGAATCATCCGTAACTGCATATTCATTTCTAGGGTCTTTTTAATGCATATTTATTGTGCCTTTCAAAGCTCTSAAATTCCTCACAGGATTTCTTACCAGGATTAATTAGTTTGTTTTCCAATCTGATGGAGCATCCTTTGGTTAGGACATTATCTGTTATCTAATAATGTAAAAAAAAAAACAATTTAAAAAATCCCAAACAAACCCCAAAATTAATGTGTTTTGCTAAAGCTTTTAGGCTTTATAGAAACTGCTATAAATTTTCTGCTGTCCTTGCAGACAAGCTGAATAAAGCCCCCAGTGATCTTTAGGGGTGTGTTTTTTTTTGTTTTTGTTGTTTTTGTTGTTTTTTTGGGTTTTTTTTCTTTGTTTTTATTTTAAAAAAGAACAAAACAAGCCATGAAAACAAACAGAAGCTGAAGGCGAGGAGTAAATGGCCCTCGTTAACAGGAACATTGGGGTTTGTGTGATCTTGAATTTAATCCCTCAGGAGCTGCAGATCGCTGTTTTATTTTATTTATTTTAYTGCACCTATTTTTGTGCTGACAAGACGATGCAGAGATGGAAATTTTATTTTTTCTGGACAAACTGTTGCCCCTTTTCCCTGAAGATCATCAATGCTGCAGCCAGGCTACAGTTGGGCATCTTTCAGATGCGTATCCCAGCTTCTCTTTCTCTGCTCCTCAACTTCATCTGGTGCTTCATTATTAATATGATTATTGGTTTTCAATATTTTACCAAGCCAAAATTCTCTTCTTCCCAGTCCCCTCTGAGGAGAGAGGGGAGGAATTGGACTCTGGAAGGAAAACTCCATTCCTAAAAAGTGCGAAGCAGCTTCAGGAAATCACCCAGCCTTGCTTTGTGTCTTCTCTGTGATGCAGAAAATGAGGGTTTTGTGGGATTTCAAATGAGCTCAGGTGAAATGCACACCTGTAAATGTTATGGGGACACTGAAAGTCCCACAGCTGAACCTACACTAAAGCTGCCACCCAGCACTTAGGAAAGAAACAAAATCGCTGAGACAGAGCAAATCGAGAAAGCAGGGGATGCAGCACAGCTTGACGTAAAAAATAAAAATTTAAACACAATAGGATTTCTTTGCACATTTTTGCAGTCTTTAAATACATGGGAATTCACACACACGAGAACGGATTCCTCCTGGCCTCACCCTGAGGAAAAGCAATGAAAAAATTTCAAGGAGAAACCAAAGTTCAGCTCTGCCAGCGAGTCTGGGAAATTCTCCCAGCTGTTCTGAACTGCTCCCTAACCTCAAAACTCACTTTCTTCTGCGATTTGGAGCTGAACAAATTGTGGTTCATTGGGTTGTAGTGTCAGAAATAGAACAGTCCAAGGTTTGCAGTACTGGAGACAATATTTTAATATTCCTATTAAAAACCATGCCGGATGCAGATGAAGTGTCACACGGAGATGTTGACATTCAAAACAGAAAACGGAGAAAACATCAGCAGAGAGAGACCAGAGAACACATTAAAGGCTTCTTATTAATGTATAATTTGTGTAATTATACACTCAGCCTTTCTGGGACTTAACATTCAGGCCAACCTAAACAAYAATAATACAAAGTTTTCTATAATGGCTTCTTGCAGAAAGAATGACAGTTGTGGGAAATAAAGCAATCAATATTTGAAAAGGTCTGACAGTGCTSTGAGACAGCGTCCATCAGGTTCCACTAGATGTCAGTGGCACAGAACCAATTCCATGGCATTGAGTCCACTTGGTTCGTTTATGTATTTATTTATTCATTTATTTATCTATTTATTTATTTATTTACCATCTTTACGTCGTCTGTGAACCRCAGCCCACAGCAGCTGCACCAACCCAGGGCTGATGACAGTGAACTGAAGCTAAAATAAGTCTCACCTCTTTTTCCCCCCACCCCCTTYTGTTTGCTTGATTTGAAGCCTTGAAATCACAACGCCAGAAATGTGGTGGGGAAAGGTCTGAACCACCGCAGCTTCTTGGCTTTTCCTAAAGCAGAGCCACGGAGCTCCCTCCAACCCTGCCCTCTCTGAACACCTCGAAGATAAAGATTTTTATGTGAAATGCAGTGGAACTGATCCACGTGGAAAATTATAAGGCACATACAACTTCTGTGGGTTTTGTTGTTTTTTTTCTTTTTTTAAACCACACATTCTGAAGCGTTGTTACAACTGTGCTGCTCTGGGTGGCCCAGTCGAGGCCAGAGGGGGTGAAAAGTCCACGAAATGGAGGAAAATACAGAAAAAAAAACAGAAAAAAATTACAGAAACCAAAGAATAAAGCAGAACACATTGATACAATGCTCACAATGACAGCAATGATCAACTCTTCTCATTTCTTTGGCCAACAAGCAGTGATAATTGCAAAGCATTCTTTGTTTTGTACTGGAAATACCTGACTTTATTTGGATACACAGGTGTTCAGCACTGGATTGCCACAATACCTGAAGTAAGTAAAAACCAAAACACACCAAACAGGCTGGTTCTCATCTACGTTCTTAACAAAACAAAGCTGCCAAGTAATTGTTGTTTGGAAATCATGAGAGAAATAATAAGAGGGAACTACAAAAATGATGAACTGGAATGACAGCTGAGAATCATAGTTAAGGAACATATGAAACCAAATGGCAACAGTTCTAGGCATTTATTCCAATATCTTAGAAAATAAAAATAGAAAATATTCGGCATTGCATCACCATTTAAAGACAGAAAAACAAATCTTTAACTTAAGCCAAAAGAAGATGTGAATTGTTTCCTTGTTGTTTTTTTGTTTTTCCATTCGCAGCCTTTTTTATTGACAGTACAAACAGACCCCGCTGGTACAGATTTGAGTCACAGATGCACAAATTCGGACACGGAGCGCTGTTCCCTTCTCCCCTGCACCAAGCTGCTCTGCCCCGGGCAAATCTCCATCCCACTAACAAAACCCTCCAAACCCCAATTTTCAGTGCCCTGGTGAGGCACAGCAGCCCCAGGGCAGTGTCAGCAGCACAAAGCTCGGGCACATCCCACCCATCTCAGCCAGGACCAGCAGCATTCCCTGCATTTGGCAATTCCAYCTTAAGGCAAGAACCAGAGGGTGCAGTTTTCTACCTCTCCCCTCCAGAAACTCCCTGCTTTTCCAGATTCCAAGCATGACCCCTGAAACTGGGCAAATGAGCGGAACATTCGGCATAAGGAATGCTTTAACCAAAGTAAAAGAAGGAATAAACAGGGAACGCTTTTCCCRACAATAAATCAATAATTTTCCCTCGGTTCTATCTAAAATCTAAATCTAACTCTAAAATGTTAAAGCATTTTATGCATTTTCAATAACAAATTGCAACTTTTTTGGCAACTTTTTTTTTCTTTTTTTAATAAAAATCCAGACAGTGTTCTCTGTTTGCAATCAGAACCACACCCTTAGTGCAATATTATATTTATTTCTTACAGTAATTTTGGTTGCCATACAAGAGTATTAAGGATTGGGGAAAAGTGCAAGTTACAGGAGCTTGATTTTTTTTTAATCAGTCGAAATAAGAGGAATTAAAGCACAAAAATTACAGCAACATAGATAACGTGAACACAAGTTGTTACACAAACTATAGCGAGAAACATATTAATATCTAGAAAACAAAAGAAAAAATGTAATGGAAAAATTATCAATATTTGTGGCTCATACACATAATCATCGCCAGATCAACTGGGTAATGCTTTTTAAGAACTGAGAGGAAAAGAAAAAAAAAATCACTATTTTTTATTAACTTAAGTACCACAAATAATTAACTTCTTTTTGTGATATGTAAATTCTGTAAATCAACAGTCACATCTAGTCATTTTATAATATATGAATTAAACTTAAAATGTTCTCAGACACCTAGGGCAAGGAGTCTGTGCAGTTATACACAATTTACATCTTGTAAGGTTTTGGTATTGTATACACAAATATTACAGAAACTAGGCATGTAAATGCAATTTATTTAAATTACAGTATATAAACAAAAGTTGATCCTAAAACCCAGAATATCTTAATATCTCTAACGACTTTGTTTTTCACTATCAGAGTAGCATGAAGGAAATGGGTCTTCTCTCCTCCCCCCAACATTTCCAGACTGATGAAAACACTCGGAGGCCATGGCATTCTCTGTTACTATTGCTTTCTTTTTTTTTTTTTTTTTTTTTTTTTCAGACCCCTCCTCGGAGCTGGAGACCCAACTCCACCGGGCAGAGGCGCGTCCTGGTGCTCCTGGTAGGTCCCCTCGGGTCTCCCTTACCTTTTTGCTTTGCAGGACACAACATGAAAAACAAAAACTATTCCCTTAGAGCTCTTTAATCTGCTCTTTCCTCCTGGCTCTGTGCCTGCCCATGGAATTCCTGAAGAGCTGCACAAGCAGGGACCATTCCTGTGCGAGGGAGGGATGAGCAGGGACCCCTCCATCCCTGGCACTCCCCGGGTGTGGCAGCCCGACCCACAGGAAGGTTGTGATCCAAAAAAAAGCAGCTTGAAAAGTCAACTTCTACATTTCTCTTGTACTACTGTATTGATTTCCTAACGTATTTCTGGCACGTGTTATAGAGGTAATAGCAACTGTACCCAAAGAAACAAAAATAAAAATAAAGAGCATGGCATCAGTGGTTTATTTACTGAATTCTGTCGTATCACCAAATGGAAGACAAATGATGGCTAAATTACCATTATTTCTTTTTGTTTTTCACTTCTTGAAAGTGTGTGATGGCCTCAAGTTGCCTGCATCGACCTATCTGAGTGGAACTGCCATTTTCTACACCTCCCCTGGAAAAAACTCAGCACTCCTGGMAGGAAAACGCCTCGGTGCCTTGTTTTTATCACAGGGTTCCTCGCAACTCCCCAAACACAAACTGAGCGCAGTAACAGATGTTAAGTCAAAAGATTTGCTGTTCCATAAAGGGGGCAGGAGGYTTAAATAAATTGATTTTTATGAGTTTCCAATGCAGTTGGTAACTGTAACCACTTTTGAAGAAACACTCATCCTCCTCTGTAGAAGTTCTAGCAAAGATAGAAAATATAACACAGCTCTGCTGGTTCAGATGCATCCAAATGAGGTTGATTTTAAAAAGGTCAAGACTTTTTAGTTATTCCACAGAAATAGTAGTAAACCACAAAAAGTTATTTTCTTTTTTTTTTTTTTTTTTTTTTTTTTTTTTTTTTTTTCTGTTTTTAACTTCCTAGCACTGAAGTGGCACAAAGGCTGCCCAGTAGACCAGCCACTTATTTTCTTAAAATATTGTGCTTATAAACTATCTGTACAACTATTTAAACTTGCAGTAAAGAAAGATATTTAAAATGCTAAACTTTATGTACTCATACTAGGGCTGTTGCAGACCTAATTAGACACTTGTTTGTGAGCAAAAAATAATCACAATAATAAAAAAATTAGAGATAGGCTGGACCATATCAAGGACCATATCAAGGAAAGAAAGTTCAGGTACCTTGCAAAATGTAAGGGAGCCTGAAAGTTTGGTAGGGAGGCAGTGTAGCCGTCCACACCCAATTTACCCACCTTGAACATCTTGAATATTCTGTCCAGAAAGACCTACAAAACTCACAGATATTCAGAGGTGTTAATTACAAGGGGGAGTTCAAACATGCAGAGAGAGACTTGTTAACTTGAAAATTTTTAAAAAATTAGTTGGTTTTTTTTTTTTTAAAGCCATGTGAAGCAGCCGTGGGTGTTTGTCCCCTGCTGATGGACATCTCCTGGAACGTCCTCTCTGCCCCGGACTCTGGCAGGGTGAATTCCCCTGGTGCCAGGGAACGGGCCAGGGGCAGTGCCCAGCCCGGTGTCCTTGTCCTGAGCCCGTTCCTGGGAGCAGGGATGAGGCTCTGGATCCCTCTCCAGCCCTCCTGGCTCTCGGGACGCGTGCCCTGCCACGCTCAGCAGTGCTTTCCCTCTTGGCATCACCCCTCTGCCTTCTCAGATGGAGCTCCAGCAGCTCCACCCCTGCCAGGCTGAAATCCCTCTCTCACTCCACATCTTGGCACCCTTCCCCCTGATTTCAGCAGGAACATCCATCTCTCCTTTCCTCTTCCTGCTGTTCAGCACAGCCAAGCTCTCACCCCTTCCTGGATTACACAGCCCCTCGCAGGGCTCAGCTCTCTGTGGCTCTGTCAAGCCCCAAAGCTGCACCCAAAATCTGTCCTGGCTCGTGGAGTTCACACTTGATTCAGCAGCAGATTGAGAACCAGGGGGTCTCAGGTTCCACCCAGCTCTGCTCTCTTGTCCCTCTGTGTGTTCTGTTGTCCCTCCTCGACCTCTGCTCAGCCCCTGCTCCATCCCAACGGAGCGTGCCCTGCACTTGTTCTGCCACCTTGGAAGAGCGCTAAATACAACTGCAGAAATAAAGAAATACCAGGTAAAACAGAGCAAGGTTTCCTTTGGACTGACTCCAGCACAAGAACCAGCTTCACTGCCAACAAACCAGGGAGCTAAAGCTGTAAAAAAAGAGCAACGTGAACTCCTGCACCCAGCTCAGTATCTCTGATGCCGGTCAAACTGGGTTTGAGTGGCAATGGAGCAACCTGTCCTCTAAAAATGAACCAAGGGCTGGGGAAGGAAGCCCATTCYGAGACTGAATGTCAAGAAGAGAATAAAAGCAAATGCAATTCTTTGTTTTTCCAATAAAAGAAGCCCTGAAATGTTTGCAATTGTAAAAGAAAATCATCCCGTGACGGTCCCGGCCGAGGGCAGTATCAAGAGATAYCATGTTTTAAGTTAACAATTGTCTCTCTCACACATCTCCCCACAGCTTTGAAATAAAATGGCCCCACATCTTTAGCATCTTTAGGTTTGTGTTTGGGCATGTAGCAGGCAGTCTGCATCACCTGAGTACCAGGAATTGGTCTGTGTTCCCCCTCCCCCCCAATTTTGCTGGCACTCGCAGACAGACAAGGCATTTGGGGTATGTCAGTACCAGCCCATCTCTAGTTATCAACACAAGTTGGTGAGGCAAAATAGCTATTCTTATCTGTCCAGCAGCTGCTTCAAAGCTCTTTCTATGTTCATTCTGTGCCCAACTCTAGTCACTCCAAGGTCTATCAGATCTTCCTTCTGTAGATTTGGTAAATGTGTGCCATCTATTTCATTGTCCATAAATGTTTCTTTGTGTTCACCTAAGTTTAGACTTTCCAACCAATCTGCCACATCTGGTTTAGTCCACAGGTGGACAGGCTTAGTTGTAAAAGGCTTATTTGAGATTGGCTGTTGTAATATTGAGGGAGAAGGAGACCTGCTGCGCCCTGTGGTCAAGCCAAACAAGTCCCCAGAAGGGGGCTGGCTGGGGAGGCTAAATACATCGGACAGAGTTGGAGACGGAGAGGAGGCTGAAGCAGAGGCAGTCAGAGAGGCAGGCAGGATGTCTTTGTTAATCTCTGTCGGTGACATCACAGGGCTGGGAGCRTGCCTGGCTCCTGAGGTCCTGCTGTCATAGTCGGGGGACCTGCTCTGCAGGGAGATGGGCTGGCTGGCTCCGGGGCGGACAGTGAAAGTGATGGTTGTACTTCGTGTACCTGAGACAGTGCTCATGACTTCCGTGCTCCTGCAAGGGCAAACAGACAGGCACAGTTAGAGCCAGCCCCGTAGCAATTCCAGCACGGGAACGCTCCGTGTCCCCGCTTTTTAACCAGGACTACAGAAATGGCATCGATAACTCTTTCCCAGAAAAGCACCACCAATGGTAAGCCATGGTTAAAGACAAAACCTGTGCTTATGAGCAGTTCAGGAAAAAACGCCTTCCAGAGCACATTCCTTCCCTTCTCAGCTCCTGTTCCCAAACTAGCCCCGGTTAAATGAGAAACACCGAGTGGGACAAGCACATGAGCAGGGCCAGGAGCTGATCTCCCATTGCCATGTGGAGGGTTGGAATCCTTCACTTCTGGCTTTACGGAGGATTTATTTAACAATAGTAGTTGTAGAAAGTTTCAGGAGCAGTGGATTCTGGATCTTTGGGCATCTACTCAGTGAATTTTGCAGAATGTCTACAATCCTGTTTGTTTCTAGAACAAGCCTCACAAGCTGCTCTTATTTCCCTTTCTATTCATGCTTTAAATACGAACCAGTCCTTTTAAGGTTCCTAAAAGGTCTTTGYGTCCATTTCCTTCCACTCTCAAAATCTGCTCTGGCAGTTTCACTACAAAACTAAGGAGACAAACTCCTTGTTCCTGTGCCTGCCCGGAGCTGATGGTGTTGGGATCAAGTTTTGCCTGGAGAAATTGAGTTTGTGATGATGAGCTCGGCRGGCCTGACCCTCGCTGAGGGGCTCGCTCAGATGCCCAGCCTGACAGGGTGGGTGAAGGAGCACGACCCTCTGCTTCTGCCTGCTGGCTGCAGAGGCAAATTTAGAAAGTTTGGGTCTGTTCATGTCACAGAAGGCCTGACCCCACAGCCCTCACTCCCATGGGAAGAGCCCGTCCAGCAGCACCACCGAGCCCTCTGTGCCTGCAGCTCCACAGTGCTTCACTTCAAAAACATCCTGCCAACTGGGAAAACCTTCAGACAACTAATTCAAAGCACTTCCAGACCAAAGGAATGGTTTGTTTATCCTCGGAGCAACGCCACGGACTCCAGAGGATGATGTGGCTGAAGCTGGGCTGAGATTTGCAGCCCAGATTCTGACAGAAGCCCTCTGTTCCTGGGTGCCACACTGTCCCCAGGCTCTGCCACTCGTTCCTGCTCCCCCCTTGGTGGGTCCTGCTCACATCCAGCTCCCTGTCRTTAAAACAGCACCAAGAATAACCTTGTGGAGAACCCACATCTTATCGACACCAGCATTCCCACTGATTTCCCYRGGGCTGCTYCWTGTATTTCCATGGGAACAGGGGGATCTTTTTGGAAGATTGGTACTTCACTTAAAAYAGTAGGAATAATGCTTCCAGCACTTGTGGCTTTGTAATTTAACAAAGAAAGGGAACATTTGGCAAGGTTTTGARGGTTTCCTGTGATGTTTTTGGAGCCTAATGGCTCTCATTTTCTTCTAGGGCTGGAACTAAGCAGTCCTACAAATAAAAAGTCTATGGCAAGAAACAAATTCCACTAACCAAGGGGAGCAAGTTATTTCCACCTACCTTACCTCAGCATTAGGGTCTCACACTCATTACTGAGGCATGATATAATTTAAAATCAACAAAGAGCCTGCTTTGAAAAAGGTTGGGGTAGCACTGTCCCAGTGATGGCAAGAAGGAGCTTTGTATAAACAGTGAAATGAATCCCTRACCTTTACCTGCAATCACCCCTCTACTTAATGTCCCTGCCTTGCAAATACTGGAAATTAGGGTTTTGTATTCACACCCACTGTGGCAAGGTCAAATGGATGATGAAAATCCACCTTCTTTTATTCCAGGTGATGAAAGGTAATTTCTACTGCTTGACTGGCAGCTCCAGGCTCAAGGTACACCTTCAGCTTTGGAACTCACTTCAGCTGCTTCTCCTGTTACAGACTCCCTGCCCATCCTTGCTCAGGAAATTTCTGCCACTCTTCCTTTAAATGAAGAATGTTAAGATAGTAAAGCAAATGCTCAAAMGTAAAATCTGAGAGCATCCTGCTTTTTCTCAAGCCAAAGGTTCAGGATTGCTGACTATTAAAACTCTGGGACAGTGATTTCTATTTTTTTTAAATTTTAAAATAAATTTAAGTGGATTTTTTTTTTAATTTAATTTCAGCTGATGGCAGAGGTTTCAATACCAGCTCAGTATTTGTAGGCATGTGAGTGTTCAGCCCTMAGGGAAGTCTGCTGCAGTACTTCCAGGCTTGCAGTCCACGCCTTCAACTCCAAGATTATTTTTCCATGTTCTTTCCCCCTTTCTCCACCTGCCGTATCGACTCCATTCTTCCAGGCTGCACTGTAATTGTAATCCAAGGGATAAAGCAAGGATATTTATGTAACTCCTATGTATCCTAAATTATAATTTACATCTCCCCTACGAGCTGGGATGCAGACACAGCCTCSAAACCATCATCTGTCTCACAGTTTATGGTTGATTGGTACCCTGGTCAATAAGGAGCGAGCACATTCCAGCTGGAGAGAAGGCACCGTGTGTTGTGTTATGGGCTTTCCATGCTTTCAATATGAACGATTTCTTATGCCTTATTTGATCATCTGTTATCCTAAACATATTAAATCCATACTTAACCYGCCAAAGCCCAAATTTCATTTTAAAAAAGGTGAAAATCCCAGTAATTATTTTAAATAAAATTTGCTCTATTAGAATCAGCATATGGTGGTAATTTATAAACATTTGYTGCTGTGAGCCTGCACTGATTGCAATGCCCATTATGTTGCCTCATATTAAAATCAAAATACATAACCTATATGTCACAACTATGTGGCCTGCAAGTATAAAAGCCAACAGCACAACTTGTAGCCAAGAAATTCTTTTAMATTTTAGATTTTATTTGCAGGATCCCAATTTACTGTTAACTTAATATCAGAAGCAAATCAGTGCAGCACCTCCCATGGAAAAATAGAAAMACCCACATTATTCTCAGCTCATGGGAGCTGTTTTAGCCTGGAACTTTCCAGAAGACTTGCTGGTTCTGACAGCTTTTCCATTGTATTGAAGAAAAACATCTTAAAACCCAAGAGGAGCAATGAGAGGAGTCCCTGTATAAGTGTACTGCAAGAAATTAACTTCTTACAGATCTCTAAGGCCACACAAAGCYCAAACCTCTCCTTCCCCTCTTGATATTTCTATCTTCTTCTTGGGTTGTCAAGGGAAAATTGCACGGCAGGGAGGTRAGACAATAACTGTCTGTTTTGGGGGAGATAAAGAGCACGGGCTGATGTGATGACTGGCAGGATGCAGAGCTCCTCACAACGGCGTTATTTTGGGGAGCTGCTGGGTGTCTGCTGCCAGGGAGGAACAATTGTGAGGGGCTGTGGGAGCCTGTCTGTGCAGGAGCAGGAGTTTCCATGTGAAATGTCTGCAAACCAGCAGGAAGGGGATGGTGCAGGGCCAGGAATAAGCCTCAGCCCTCTCTGCTGGGTAACTGCAGGGAAAAGGGAAGCTGGAAGGAGAAAGGGAGGAATCCCACGGCGTTCCAGGACAACAGATGACCACAAGGGCTCGTTTGTCTTTACTTTTAACCTCACATCGGTGTGTAAAACTGTACTATCCCTCCCCACCTCTCCACCTCCAAAAATCYGACACAATTTTGGCACATCTGAGAAGTCCTGACCCACATTTAGGTGCTCAGACACATTCAGGAATCTGGCTGTATGTGCTCATGTTTCCAACACMTTTTCTGAGTACTCCTCTGGTGAACGGGGCTTTTATTTCACCTTGAGACAACATCCAACTTCCCATTTTAGGAATGGCTACCATTTCTGGATTAGGATGATCTAATCCACACTGCACTGTGAGAAACACAGTCAACACCAAAGTCACTAAGATGCAGTAACAATGAGTGAGCATTAGAAAGCAGCAGAATGTACAACACAGAATAGTCCATGCGTTATGGTCGGCACTTACTTCATGGCACTTCAGCATGACCCTCCTCTGACAACAGCAGTCATGACAGCAAATAAAAATGACAAAATGGAATGACTGAAACGCTGCAGAGATCACTGACAAAGCAAGCAGTCCCGTGAAATCGGCTGACAAACAGTTAACGACGTGAAATGGGTCTAATGGGAGAGCAGCAAAGGGAAAAATCAAGGCACTTATTTCATCCTCCACCAAACCCAGACACATTTTACAATAAACCAAATGTAGGATCAATCCCTATACAGAACTCACTACTAAGTTCAGTTCTGCCTTACCTGTTTGTGGGGGAAAAAAAGGGAACTTTTCCAGATATTCATTAAAAAAACATACTCAGAGATGGCCGAAACCACTGGCCAGTTTCACTTTTAGCACCTGTTATTCCAGCACAGTGCAGGTTATTCTTCCTAGAGGACTTGATTCCATGTGGTTACTCATCCTCCATAAGTCCCACATTTAACATGAGCATTGCCCACCACCAGCAGTGACACTGAAGTGCCTGAGAAGGCCATAGGATTGTGCAAACACAGCTGGAGAAGCACAGGCACCACTTGAAACAGAAGCAGTTTCAGCCTCTGGCACGGCCATGGATCATCTTGGCACAGTGCTGGCGGTTTGTTTTTCCTCAGCAGCACTCCAGAGGCACTGAGGCAGGATGCACTGCTCCCTGGGGCTGTGCTGTCCACCCCTGGCAGCTCCTGGGTTTGTCCTGCCTCAGCCACGCTGGTTTCACCCCCTGCATCCCCTGGGCTGGCACCCGATGGCCGTGCTGTCCCAGGGAAAGCCCTGCCCTGCTCCTCTCCCAACCCTCCCAGCAGCTCTCTGACAAAGGCAGTGGCCTCTCCAGTGGGTTTATAGCATTGCTGTATTTATGGCATTGTGGCTGTTCTCCTCATCTGCAGGAGGGCATGGATAAACCAGATTAAACCTCTGGCACCACAATTGATGGCCGTAAATTCTCAAAGTAACTGCTGGCCAAAATTGGGATCTGGAGCTCTCTTCTTGAAGCTTCTGATCAAACCCTCTAATTATGCTTTAATTAGTATGAAGTAAACAAGCACACCCTTCTCACTTCTTCCTCCTCATCCTCCTCCTGCTGGATTCCTTTTCCCTATCCCAAAGGTTGGTCACTGCCACTGAGGAGCAGATGGTTTCCAGCCAAGCATTTCCATGCTCTATTTAAAAATCTTGAAGTTTGGTGTCTCCATAAGAACCATGGGAAACTATAAATACAGGGTGTAAAATGGGTGCTAAACCAAGGTGCAGAGAATAAAAGCAAGTTTAGGGTGGTTTTAATGCAATAATTGAGAAATGCTGTTCAGGACCATAGAATAATCTCTTCCTAATCCTCATTTATCACAAACACACAAGGAAGGCATTTTTATGGGTTTCTGCAGCTGGCCATTACCCAACTATCTGGAATTTATTTCACCCCTGTGCCATCCTAACACCCTTGGATGAACCACAGTTTTCTATCTCCTGGGTGTGTGAAAAGAATTCCTGGTGGTGGTTAGGATTCCAATCTGGTCTATAATTTCATGTAGGCCCCAGAAGCAAACACATATTTTTAATTTCATCAGGCTGCCTGTGCTGTGAGCACCCCCAAGCCAGCCTGTGAACGTTGTTCCTATTTTTAGCACCTCCCAATCCCTCTCTCTGGCTGAAGGACACAACAGGCTCATTTATGATCACTGCTCTGCTTGCAGAGATTATGAGTTGTTCTTCAATTTAGCAGAATCCTCGCTTTTTGTCAGCTAAAATTCCTCGGTGTCTTTCTAATGCTACCTCACAGGGAAGRGCTGCAAGTTCTGCAATTGGTTGTCATGGGCTTTAGAGTATTGGGGAAAAAAAATACCAAGAAACTCCAGGAATTTTGCCTTTGAAATTCAAATATTAGCTATTACACCGGAAATCTTCACAAGATGGTATTCCTTGGTCATAATATTTGACAGCTTTGTAAAAAACTGTGTCAGCTGTGCAGTCAGGCTAGAAAGGCTGTAATTTATTTAACTTTTGGAGAGACAAAGCGGGAGTGAAAGCAGTGAAAAAACCACAGGGCTTCTGAATCCACAAGTGAACTTCTCCATTTCCATCTCTCTGCCTTACCCTTGTGGAGATGAAAAGACACTGCCTGCAGCACCTTTTCATGCACAATTTCAGTGTCTGTGGAACGCTGATTCTCTGCTGTTCTCCCTGGATTATTATTTGCTTAAAAAGGAAACCCTGAGCAACCTTTCCTGGTGGTTTCAGCGCTTGAATTTAGCTCATAATTAAGGAGGCAATCACATCAGTTTGGAAAACAGCAGGGAACACAAGCCAGCCCTGTTGCCTCCTGTTCCCACTGGGAATTCTTGGGGAGGTGTCCTTTTCTCCCCCAGTCAGGTGGCAGCCGTGCTCTTTGCCACTGCCATCTCATCCCATTTATCCCCTCACAGCTCTTCTGGCACTGTGATATCCCATGGTCCTCTCTCCAGTTTGCAAAGAGGAGTGTCTGGGTTTACTGTTCAGGGAAGAAGCGGGATTTCAGCCACACTGAAATAATGTTTTGAGTGGGTTTTTTTTTCCCCCAATTAAGCTTCCATATTCTATAATGAAGACTCAGTATTTGCCAAAGCTGAATTAGAAAAATTAAAAAACCTCAAGGCTGGAAAAAACTCATGAATTTGTGATATTAAGTCAGATCTTCCTCTAAAATGTAACATATGGGGCTATTTTGCTTACATAAGTTTGCTTTTCTTCAATTAAGTGCTATCGTTTTCAATTTCCCCCCAACCTTTACACCTTTTAGAAGAATAAAATTATTTCTATATACCTCTACTTTTCATTTTGCTCTCAGTAATGGTAGTTCTTTCAAACTGTGTTTACAATAGCCTGTAGTTGGCAGCCTCAGTTATTTTGTAATCAAATGGAATGCTGAAGATCTCCACTGCAATCTGGAAACACCTATCAGCTTAAAAATAAAAGCTGATAAACAATATTATACATATGAAGCTACAGACAACATGTTCATCGGGCTTAACAAGAAAYATGATCAACATCTAGAAAAAATAATGTTCTTTTTACTTTTCTTCACGTTTAAAGGATATTCCTGTAGGGCCAGCTCAATTCCTGCTCCATTTAGTCAAGTGCCACTGATGGGAATKTCACAATTTCTGTGTTTTATTCCCATTTTTCAGTTCTAAACACTGAATCTCCTCCCTGTCACCAGTTTGATGACTTCCATCTTGCAGGAAACAATATCTAACTGCGTGGTGCTGAGGCTGTGGATCACACTGTTTTCTGAATGAGCAATCTTTGCAATCAGCAGAGACACCCTTCTCTTAAAAACAGATTATCTTYATGCTCGGAAAGTACAGCAGCTTTCCAAAGGCTGAGCTATTTATTAACCAGCAGAATAATTCTAATAAAATTGATGTAGATGCCATCTTTTTTTTTAAGAAAAAACAAAGCCAGCAAACCCTCAGTCTCCTAATAAAACAAATAAAATTGCCAATCTTTTTTTAATAAGTGGGGATTTAATGATATTATGTCCCCATTCCAGACAGATGTGTTTTGAACAGTGCAAATTGACTTTAATGGGCAATTCTCTGAAATACTTTATGATAAAGTAGATTAGGAATGGTCTCAGCATGAATCAAATGACACCACACAGTGAATGTGAAGCCACCCTTGGCAAAAACACTTTTTACCCATCTGAAGCCAARGTATCTCATGGGACTGGAGAAAAATTAAATTATCACCACAGTTTTAAATGAAAAAAACTAAAGAGGGAAAAAAAAATAAAAAGGAAGAAAAAATTAAAGAGAAATCTAAGAAATTCACATCAAAACAACTGAAAGGTTTGTGCAAACTGCCTTTGAAGTTGAAGACTGAGAAAGCTCCTGTCCTATCATCTAGGCAACAAGAATGTTGACACTCTAAGAAATTGYTGTTTGGCACAGACCATTCGTTAAGCAAATACAGAGCACACTCTTTTTTCATCTGTGTGATTTACAGGAGAAGTTTGCAATGGGATGGCAAAAAAAATTTAAAAATCACACCTTTTTAGACAATGATTTGGTTAATTACTTTTACCTTGTACTGAGACTCGCGGTTTTCGTTCCAGTCGGCGACTCCAATCCCTCCCCTGGCTTTGAGGATTTCTCCCTGTTCATTTGCTGCAGTATTGAGTTCAATTCACTAATGACATTAGCCTTGGGGCCTGAGAGAATCGGGCTTTTCACCTCGGGCACGTCCCCCCATAGCTTGGATGTCCTTTGGGGGACAACTTTCGCCAGGTTGGGCGGGGCACTGATGGGAGGCGGGGGCGGGGCGGGTGGAGGGATCACAAAGCTGTCTACAGTTTCCTCGATCAGCGCGTCCTTGTAAAGTGCATTGCTTTTGTTGATTATGGGCTTCATTTTTGGCTTAGGAGGTACTGGGGGTTTGTCCACCAGAAATGTTTGCCCATCTGCATAGACTGTACAAGTATCCACGTTCTCCCCGCCTTCCGAGGACAAGGTAGAGATGCTGGACACCGTTGAGATAGTGCTGGTTGTCTCTAAGTGATGGTCGCTGCCGCTCCGACTGTCCACCTCCTCGATGCCGGAGTCGGCGACGTTGTCGAAGCTGTCGGGGGGTGGCAGGAAGGAGGCGGGCAAACAGTTTGAGAGCCCCGCCGGCTTTTTGCCGTCCAGGGCGTTGGCCGGCTGGCCGGGCGAAGGGGCGCCGTTCTTCCTCTGCGCCATCAGGTCCGCCGCGCGTTCGTCGGGGATGTCGAAGCTGTTGGCGAACTCCAGGGGAGGGGGCAGCGGCTCGGTGAACAGGAACTCCTCGTCGATGTCCACCGAGGCCAGGGGCGGCGGGGGGATGCGGAAGGGCAGGATGACGGGGTCGTCCACGGAGCTGGCAGACACGATGGTTTTGCCGGGAGAAGCCGGGGGCTCGGGCGCGGCAGGGACGCTCAGCTCGCTCTCCGCTTCCTCGCTGCCCTCCGGCCTCTCCGGCGGGGAGTTCTCAGGGCTCGGCTCCATCTCGGCTCCCTTCTCCTCCTCCTCCTCCTCCTCCTCATCCTCGGGTGTATCATCTGACTTGGCCGTGTCCACGGTGTGCACCATCAGCAGGCCAGCCGACTTTTGCTGCGAGGTATCCACGATGTTTATCAACATGTTCTTCTTCTCCTCAGCTTTCTTTTCTTTCCCTGCATCCGTCTCGTACTTGTTCTCAGTCTCCTGCCGTCTCAACAGGCCACGGGTGTTTTGCCTGGTGACAGTGGCAGTAACAGGAAAAGTCGTTTCCATGTTGGGTCTCAGCTTTGTATCGATGTAAAGCGGTTTGTTAAGGTCGGTTTTGACGGCGTCCCCTTTGCCTGGAATCTGTTGCGTTTGCTCTTTCATGGCTCTGTCCCTGGCCGAGAGCGCCAGGGCAAGCGGCGAGTTGGGGTCCAGCAGCTTGCCCGTGACCGGGTGGACATAGCTGTCCGGGCTGGGAGCGCTCAGGGGCTTGGCTACCCCCGTACCGCCGTCAGGACCTTTCGTTTTGGACGGAGCATTCAATGTCCTTGAGTCGCTCTGGCTGCCGGGCTCGCTGCTGTTRAAAAGGTTCTCGGGCTCTCGGGGGGCGGGGATGGGAGACGGAGACATGAGCTGTCGGAAACCGTCCTCACTGGCAAACATGGCCTCCTCGGCGAATTTGGACTGCCTCATCCGCGGGGTCGGCGGCGTTAATCCCACATCCTCGTCTCCCAGGTCTGTGGACAGGAAGGCTGGGGAATTGCGCCTCGCCTCCAGCCTCTTCTCCCTGTCCCTCACGGCTCCCGCGATGGCGGCCGCGAACGGGCTGCTGACCCCCAAGCTGTCGTCGGGCCGGAGCTGCCCGGGCTGCTCTGAGGACTGCGGGTCGATCTCCATGCTGCTCCCTTGGCTGCTTTTCCCGCTGCTGCTGGTGGATGGCTCTTTGACGATGATGGTTGGGATTGGAATAGAGCAGGTTTTTTCCGGACTATCCTCCACGTTGGATTGTTTRACCAGCATCCCCTTCCGCCGGGCCGGTTTGGCCGGCACATAAACCGCTTTGCTGGCAATTTTCCCCACCTCAGAATAAGGGTTCTCCGGCATTTGGCCCCTCTTGCTGCGGAAATTGGCCTGGGCCGCAGCGCTCCGGTTGTACAGATCTTCCGAGTCCAGSGAGTATCGGTCCAGCTCCCGCCTGTAATAGATCCCTTTGTCCCTTATCATCGTCCCCACGCTCTCGGGCCGAACCAAAGAGATTTTTGCACCTGAATTCTGGTTGAATGGAGGTTTGATGGTTCCGTAGCTCCGGGCCGTCAGGGATTTGGGGGAGTTGTACAGAGAGGGGGAAGGGGGCGGCGGTGAGGGAGGTAAGGACTGCGGTGGYGGTGGGATATCTTCAGAGGTGTCGGGCATTGAGAGACTCCTGGTAAACTTCAGCATGGGAGGGGCCAGAAACTGCCGCTCTTCCTCCGTTATYCCTGGAAATCAGAGAGCGCGTTTAAAACACCACCGGGATCCCTCACACGGAGCCATTTCTCCATCCAACCCAAAATTCCAGGGGGCATTTCCCATGGCATGAGGAATATGCACAATCATAAAAGAGGCCTTTAGGTTGACCCCCACCGTAATCATTCTTTCCTGCTGGACATCCCATGTGCCAGGATTGAAAAGGATGCTACAGAATTTTAACAGAACTGATGGCTGACGTGCAGGGAAATGTTTGGGGTTTATGTATCATCAAGGCGGCTGTAGAAAAGCACATTTTCTTTGGAAATTATTGAACAGGGAAGATACTCTGTGCAAAAGAGTAGCTTTTGCCTTGGTTTAGAACTCTAAAAATGCATATAATAAAGCAATGTGGAAACCTAATGAATTTTTAAGATGCAATTGAAATTTAACAAAAGGACTACGAAGATCCTATTGGGGGAAAAAAACCCCATAATGTAGCATTTCAAAAGATGACATTATATCATTACAAAAATGGCTTTTAACATAAATAAACTGGGTAATACTGGTATAGTTTGTATGCTAATTTTACATCAGCATAACGCTCTTCTAAAAATCGCAGCTAAGATTACTAACAGGAACAAAGYAAGCCCAAATTTGGTCTGCTCTTTGCTTCTTTGTTGCAAAATCATCTATTGCCATAATTTCAAATGAAGAGGAGAATTTTAGTCCATTTGATCAGCAGGATTTCTTTGGAAACTACACAGCATTACAATGATCTCATCTCAATAAYGAGGAAAAAAAGGATAACATTTTGCCCTCATGTTTTGCAAAAGGCTTGTACTGACCTTTTTTTCTTTCCCCATGTTACAGGGAACATTCTAAAGAAAGTAATCAAATTATAATTCCATACTTGCCAGGCAGAATGTGGAAATTACACCACCTTGCACACAAACTTCTCATKAGCTTTGTACAAAGGTTAAGCAGTCACTCACTGGGGTAAAGATGTCGAAGAAACACGCTTTTGGAAAGAAGCAAAGTTACTGAAAGTATGTGAYTAATGAACAAAACCATGCAAGAGAGGCATTTTACCTATAGATTTTTGTCTTCTCATTGTACCCCGAGGTATACCCAGAAAAGGACCTTGAGGGCTCCCTGGGACAGTGGGCGTCATCACAGCAATACCCTGTCTCTCATACATGGACTACAAAAGAGAAAACAAAAATCCCAACAGCRTTAAAGCATGGAAGTCTCTCCCAAGTGAAAATAATACCTCATCCACTACGTTTTTTACTGAGAATTCCTAAGGAAAGCAATAAATCTGGGGTTATTTTTGGGGAGGAGGGGGAGGGAGAGAAAGGGAAGGCTTGGCTCTGTTTAAATGGTCGTAAAAGGACACCAGATATAAGTGGAGTTTGTTGGCATTACTTACAAGAGAACAGGTTAAGGTGGGTAATGGAAAAATATGCCCAAAATGCAATAACACCAATTACTTCGTAACATGCAAAGTTTTGTAAGATCGAATTCTGCACTTGAATAATGCAATTTCAGACTCCAGGGGTTTAATTTTTAATAGGTGCTATAGTATTAATGCCAATTCTTCCCTTACAAAGCATTGTGCATTATTTAATCAAGGCTTTAGATATATTAGCAGGAATAAAAGCAGTGCTAGGTGGCTCCCACTCACATTCATATCTGTAGCTGAGGGAAAACATCTACTAGAAGGCCGCTGTTTTATAGTWGCCACTCTTGAGTCCACAGTTGCATTGTCTGCAATTCTTGATGGCTTGGAAACTGGCACTATTTCATCCACCTTATCTGTAATATAAAAGCATTCAGTAAAATAAATATCACTCATCCAAAGAAACGGAGACGTTAAGTATTGCAAGGTCAAAGGAAGAGATTTACTTTTCAAAAGAATGCAAAGAAAAAGTTTTTTTGGCATTTTAACAAGGCAACGCTTGAGCATCATAAGTCGTGCAAGCCGAGCACTTTTTATTGCTGCTACAGAACATGCATGCTTTAGTTTTAAGCCTGCATGCATTTAATGTTTACTTAGTGTGACTCGAAAAACAATCCTCTTCTTCAAACCTTCAAAATGTGAAGGGAGAATATCTATATAGAAATGGAAAGAAGACCTTTAGAAATAGTGAATCCGTACAGCACTCTTTCAAATAGAGATAAGCAGACTGTACTTAGTCATCAGAATTTCAGTGATATTTTGGACAATAACAAGTACTCCAGAAGTGCTCTTTTATGCCTATTCTCCTTAAGTAATCACATCCTGATTTGTTCACACTCTTGGACTTGTAGGCTAGCATTACTAACTGCATCCTTTGTTTAAATGAAAATTTTATGTGTTATTTTTTTTCTAAGTCTCTTTTAGTATTTTTTTTTCTAAATTTCTTTTAATAATAGTGTGGRAAGGTATTTAATGGTCAGGAGCCGAGCAAAAATAGGCAAAGTCCAGATCTGAATGAGAACTCCAGCATTTGGATTTGGGATTCTGATCTGCTGCATGATGTGATGGTAAAATACAGGAAAAAGTTTAATCAGGATATKCCAAAGCTGAGTGCTGGTATTAGCCCCATCTCCAACTTTGGTCACAAACAAGGTTCATCAGTATTTAATATAAAATGTTACTCGCTCACACTGAAGATTTCAAAGTACAGTACAATTATTGTCAAAATACCTAATTATTGCCTGACCATTCCTTTTTTTGCCCCTTCTACAGCTACAAAACCATGGCATGGAGAAATTCAATCACTAGCCCAAGCCACCAGGAGAGTTTAGGTTTGGAATCTCTGCCAGAATCCAAACTGGAATCACATCAACAGCTTTCCTTACTACAACTTCCATTGCATTTGCTTGCCTGTATCCTGTTAATTTAGTGTTTTTTCCTTGGAAGCTTCATGAAAATCAGGATTAGTTGCATAGCCTGTGGTGGTGCTGTGAGAGGAACACCTCAGCCTGGCTCCTAGGCCTCCACAACACAAGCCAGAGCAATGCTATTTTCCAGCAATTAGATCCATCTCCCAAATAACTGAATTCATTATTTGTCAAACAAGGACAGTTACCTTATTAGGACACTACAGACTAAAAACCTGAGTTTTTTTGTGATCTACAAATGGTGTCACTATCCCAAGTATTGTATTTAGTGATTTAAATTTTACCTCTCGCTGGAGAGCAGTGCACTCAGGGCCCTGGACACTGACATGAATGGGAATAAGGCAGGAGGAAAAGAGCTTTTGATCCCTCTAAACAGTAGATCTGGCTGATGCAAGGATGATATTTTAAATGGGAGAAGAAGAGAGGGAAGAACTTTTAGCCTTCAGGTTAGGAAGAAGGTTGACCTAGAAGTGGATATTTCAGTGTCACAGAGGGTCAGGGAGCAGGCAGGAAAGGAAAGGCTGAGCAGGACCAGTAAGCTGAACACTGCTGAAAGCTGTCTCACAAGAGTAGTGTTGCTGTTTCTTTTCAATTGAAGTTAGCATTCAAGTCTTTTCATTGGTCTTTTTTTTTGGTGGGGTTTWAATCATCCAGTGGAAGGAGAAAAGGAAAAAAATTCTTAAAATCGTCACATATATTCAAAACTAAAAACCAACTTAACRTCACATTTCATAAGGCTTTGTAACACAAACTTCTGAAGGAAAAATATCTGCACTTCTGCCCAGCAAAAGGCATCAGAAAGCAGTGGTGTAACCATGAACACTTAACCTACACAGCAAAAATGTGGCTGGTCTGCAGAATGGTACTCRGGGGATCTACCACCAAGAGCTTCAGCTGGGCAGAGATTTCCTCTTAAGGCTCTCCCACCCTTGTTCTCATCCCAGAAGCCAAACAACTGGTCTTTGGGATACAGAAAGAACGAAGCCTTGGAAATGGAAGCCCTCAAAATCCGCTCATGAGAAATAGAAATATGCCACGTAAGAAGCGATCCCCCTCATTKTGAACAGACACACGTAACCAGATACCCATTCAGACAACAAAAGGCTACAGGGAAAAAGAGATGAGGCCATGACAGACACTTGGAAAAGCATGGAAATATTTGCTGGGGATGAAACATACATACCCTTCAACTGCACTGATTTTGCTAGACAATCCTGTAAGTCAGATCCTAGGTTTGGATCTGACCAAAATATCAGTTGCTACCAATTCTTAATACCGTCTATACTATTTCCATGCAGGAAAAAAACCCTGGTTTTGTGCGAGTTTATTGCAGGTTTCTTGTCTGTAGAGAGGTTTTCAGTCCTTCTCACCCTACGGCTGATCCCATTCGCCAYTTTTAGCTAAAGCACTCGGAAATGGGAGACGAGGGCGGGTTAAAGCTCGAGCTGCTTTGCAAGGAACTCTTTAGGTTTTCCTTGCATGGCACTTTCGGTGGCAGCACCGCAGAGCTCCTTCTCTTGCTCTACTGCCCTTGGATCAGAAAGCAAATGTAGAGTGGAGATTGTCATTTTGGAGCTACAACAAAAAAAGTGAGGCTGCAGAAGCAGCCAGCACGTGGAGATCGATCCTAAATGGCAGCAGCTACGTGGCGGGTCCTGCGGGAAACATCAGAAGCTGAGCGCCTGGCCACACCTGCCCCACCCTGCTGGAGCGAAAGCACGACGTGAAATAAAAACATTCTCACTGCCTGATCAAACGGGCTCCTCCTATGGGCTGGCTGAACTGCAGACAGAGCCACTCACGCTCACCCCAGAGAAAGAAGAGTTAGGGCCAAACCTTCGCTTGCCTGCGCCTCGAGCTGTTCATCCCCACAGCACTGGAGTGCAAACCCCTCCTGAATTCAAATAGACTGGAATAATTTGTCAGGCTCACTAATTAGCTCTCCTCCCAACCTCCTCGTGACCTCAAACACTCTGCAGCATGAACTCCTCGTACCAATGAGAGGGGAAGCTCACAAGCTCACGTTGGAAATTCTCTGAAGAYAACTTCACAAATAACCCTGACAAAAGAGAGAGAAAAAAGCCACAAAACGGATGCAAAAATTGGCACCTGTCAKGAGGTTGTGTAGACAGAGTGGCCCAAAGAAGCCCTCCTCCAATGGGATTTTTAAAAGGAATACAGCTGGATGAAGGTCAAAAGGAAGGAATGAGGGAAATGGAGGTTGGCTGTGCCAGCTGCATTTCCTTCTCAAACCATTCGTTCAGCAGAGCACAGCCACAAGCACACACACACACACACACRCRCTCTTACAGGAGCAGTTGGTGGCTGGCTGGCACAGTAACCAAATCTGATCTGCTGTGCTCTGAATAACCTCAGCCTCGCAGAAAGACAGGGAAGAAGAGGCTACATCTCACTGGCCGGAGAGCACAGCTCGGCTGCTGTCACAGAAGAGGATTTTTAGGCCTATGATTATTGCCTGGCATTTTCCACAGAAACTGCCCTGCACCTCCCCGAGAAGTCACAACGGCGTGTTGAGAGTCAAACACAGGAGCCATGCTACACCTGTGAGAACCTGCCCCGCCACTCCAGGGGCTCCCGGGAACAGCATCCTCCCGGAGAACTGTCAGGGATACCACATGGAAAAGCCAGTCTAATGCCTCTGCATGCATATAGCAATTTGAGTGCCACTATATTAAATTCCCCCGAGAGAGGCAGCACCGACAGATATAAAGTAATTTATTGCCAAAGTGCGTTTCCATCTGCCCTGTTGGGTTACCAATGGGACCCGTGCCCTGCTCAGGGTGCCAGCCCTCAGGAAATTGGATGGCCTAAAGGCACAGAAAGTAGTTGTGTTTGATCAAGATGTAGGTCTCGTCTCTGACAAAAAGCTCTTAATCACAGAGTAGCACAGTACCCAACAGCGTCATGACTTTTACATTCTCA